TTAGGGTTTAGGGCTTTAGGGGGCTTTAGGAGGCTCAGGGGGTTTAGGGTTTAGGGCTTAGGGTTTAGGGTTTAGGGCTTAGGGTTTAGGGTTTAGGGTTTAGGGGGCTTAAGGTTGGTTTAGTGTTTAGGGTTTTAGGGTCCAAACATAGGAGCCTGGCCTGATTCAGAGCTCGCTACTCAAAAAAGCTCTCTTAGGACGAGCCCGGGAAACTTAAGCTCTCTTCTTCAACAACCAGGCCCAAAAAAGTTCAAACTTTTTAAAATAGACATAATATAGAAGGCCAAAAAGTTTGAAGTTCTCTCGTTGAGGACCTAAGTAAACTCTAAAACCTAAAGCCTAAGCCCTAAAGTCTAAACCTTATAGGCCCCAAAGCCATGGGAAGCCAAATGCCCTAAATCTTCAACCTCACACCCTGAAGCCCTAAACACCAAAGCCCTAATGTAGGGGCCTTGATACATAAAATAAGGCTGTAGGCTTCTTGCAAGTATGGTTATAACAAGGAACCCCGGGAATAATGTTGGTAACGATTTAGGCCTCTATATATTCCGCGCAAAATTCAACAGACTCCGGCTTCAGGCCTAAAACCCCAGCAACGAAACCGAAAAACACTGGGTTTAGGGTTTAGGGTTTAGGGTCTGGGCCACAACACCGGAAACTAAGCTCCCTAACCCCTAAACCCTAAGAAATAATTAGTTAGAATAGGGCTTGGGAGGTACAGTATGGTATTCGATAGGGGCTATAAGGAGATATTCCTTTAGCAGGATCCTACGATGTAGTACACACCTCTGCATGGATGACTTTTTTGCTCAGGACTTCACGATGAAAACCAAGTTAACAAAAACACCGTAACATATTTTTAGGGTCTAGGCAAACCCATAAACTCCTGAATTTTCACAACCTGAACCCTGCAACCTAAACCCTCAAATCCCTAACACCCTAAACCCTAAACCTTAACCCAAGTTGCAAGCATCCGTCGTCGCTGCGCAGGAGGAAGCCCGTGCACTGTTGAGAGTCGCGGCAAAGCTTCGCCTGGTGGGGGAAGGGTCTCTAAACCCCAAATCCTCTATAGGGGCTATGGGTTTTAGGGTTTAGGGTTTAGGGTTTAGGGTCCTCGAAACCTGGAACCTTGAAACCTAAGTCTTAAATCCTAAAACCCATGAGCACCGTAACGCTTGAGACACAAATCCAAAACAACACCTCAAAAGCCCAGAGCCCTCAACCCACAGCAGAACCATGTGAAACCGCATAGCCCCAAACCCTCAAGGCCTAAATCCAAGCCCAGGCGCGCAGGCCCGGAATCCAACTTTGCCAGCAAAGATCTGTTCATCGGATGACCAATCTGCCCTGCCCAACTCGAGAAAACCTCGGGCATCAGAGGCATGTGGTGTTTAGGACTCGGGGTTGAGGGTTTAGGGTTTAGGGTTTAGGGTTTAGGGTTCAGGGTTTAGGGGTTAGGGTTTAGGGTTTAGGGTCCCTAAACCCTAAACCCTAAACTCTAAACAGGCTTTGGGGTTGGAGCTTCGTTCGGAGCATGGAGGTTGGGGGCTTAGAGTTCAGATGAGTGGCTTAGGCAGGTGTTGGACGGGCCTGGAGTGGTTCGAGGTGTAGTATTATACATGCCTTAATAATTCGAACAGGGTTTTGGGTTATTCTAATCACTATACAAATGACGGACAGGAACCCTCAACAACGCCAAGTATTGGTAAGCATTCAAGCTGTTTTATATTAGGGTGTTCTCGGACTTAGAAAGCTCTAGAACCCTTAATATAGGTAGAACAAACTCCTTTTGATGGGTTTTGAAGGCTTGGAAAGCTCTAGAACCCTTCATATAGGTAGAACAAACTCCTTTTGAGGGGTTTTGAAGAAAAGGATCACGGTTCAGTCATTTGTGCGAAGCATGCTGGTGGTGCGAATTCTTGCGTTAGTGGGAGCTGCTGGCGAGGGCTCGACATTTCTCAGTGTGGTCCGGTGGTAGAAAACCCTCGCGGAACACGTCATGGAAGCCCCATTCAAGCCCTCAAAAACCGTGCCCTTCAGACTGTCTTAGAGCTTTGTCTCTTGCTTCAGCTTCTGGGAAGTTTCTTGAGCTACGGTTGATGATATCAATCCAGAATAAGGAATAAACCATAATTCCCGTAGTTTAGGGTGCTTAACCCTAAGGGTCCATGTACCCAAATAGTACATACTTTGGCCCCAATGTACCTATATAGGGACTACTTTACGGCCCCGAAGTACATACTATTTAAGTACATGGACCCTTAGGGGAATGACGAAGAGGGCGATGACGATGATCATGAGATCCCTAAGGTCTTGCGCACCTAGAAGGTATATACTTAGGCCTTGAAGTACCTATGCAGGAGCCCGTTTAAGGCGTGAGTAGATTCTATATCGGCAAATGGAGCCGTACCGGATGAGGATGACAACGGCAACGATGATCATGCCCATGATGGATATATGAGCACTGCTTCAAGAAAGGAGGCTTCATCATAATTCAGGGTCGAATGGTGTTATTGTTGCTTCTGGTGATACCGACGGCTGTGGACGCGCAGATGCTGGTGATGCTCATGATCGCTTGAAAGACGGTCGCACTGCAGGCTCATGCTCTTCTCGCTTCTCAGTCACCCCCGAAACCCCAAAGCCTACTTGGAGGATCATGGGACTTAGTAAGTAAGGTTATAAGTACATCAATGGGAGTTACAATAAATATAACTATAGCTACCGTATTTATAACCTGGTTACTAAGTCCCATGATCCTCCAAGTAGGGCTCATCTTTGAGCAGAGGCGCCTTGCACCATTGGCACACACATCTTCCTTGGCTGACCGCCCCACAGTTACAGAGGAGTATGTACTTTTCGTGTAGAGGGCGATGCATGAATCGCAAAGCAAGACTTCTGCGCCCCTGTGAACCGTCAATTGCGGTTTAGTGTGTAAGGGGGTTTAAAGGTCCAAGTTTTCAGGGTTTGAGGTTTAGGAGACGCTTCTGGAGAAGCCGAGCTTGGCGGGATCTACATGTACATTGCGCAAGCTTCGCACATCATGTGAATGCCAAGCCCAGCAATGCAAAAGCCAAACCCTAAACCCTAAACCCTATAAACCCTAAACCCTAAACAACACATCATGCAGTATCAATGAGGACTCCTCTGCATAATCCCACACCCTAAACCATGAACCCAAAACCCTAAACCCTGAGTCCAAAACCCCAAACCCTAAACCTTGAACCTTCAACCCTAAACCCTAAACCCTGGACCCCAAACCCTAAACCCTACACCCTGAACCCTAAATCCTACACCCTGAACCCTAAACCCTACACCCTGAACCCTCAACCCTGAACCCTAAACCCTGAACCCTAAACCCTTCAAGCAGGAGCCGAGGCCCTGAATCCGTTAATCGCACACACGTCTCCACACAAAGCCTGTAATCTAGGGCCTTGATAACTGGAGGCTTCCCTTAATATAAGGGTTTAGGGGCCGCGGTTATATATATATATATACATACATATATATATATATAATACCATAATTATAATAAGGAAGACCCCCAAACAGCATAGGTAATTGTTACGGCCCCTACATTACCAAATCCACAAGCGAACAGAATCTGTCCCTGGCAGCGTGCAACCCCCACCACCCAATCCGAAACCCTGTGCGCTAAAGCTTCTGAGTTCTGAGCTCCGCAAGCCTACAGCCCGAAAGGTCTTAACCACAAACTCTGGGATTCAGCATTTAAGGCCAGAGAAATCTGGTGAGGGCTCGAGAGCTTCGATTACCTAGATCTGAAATTTGGCTGATGAGAGAATTTTAGAAAACATGACTCATAAATGGTGGGCCGGGCTCCTCTTTAGCTAGCACGGTTTCTGACAGTTCACCCCCATGACGTCTCACAATACTCTCAAACTCCCTAAAGTGCTCCAAGCAAACTAAACCCATGAAAGTCCTAACATACCCTAACCAAGAAAACAAAACATATCCCTAAACCCTTAACCCTAGACCCAAAACATATACCACCTAAACCCCAGACTCAAAACATAGATCATCATCTGAGCTGCTGTAGACATGCCAAGCCATGGTCCGGGCAGGGTGCTCCATCTCCGCAGCCTTCATGAGGGGGTTTAGGTTAGGGTTTAGGGGTTTAGGGTTTAGGGTCTCCTAAACCCTAAATCCAAACCCCATGGGGTTTAGGGTTTAAGGGTTTGCGGCTGCAAGGTTTAGGGCTTATAAGGTTTAAGACTTCGGGTGTTGGGAGTTTATAAATATGGGTTCAGGGTTTAGGGCTTTAGGGGTTTAGGAGTTCCGGGTTGAGGGTACGGTAAGGGATATAGAGGGTGAAAGAGTTTTAGGGTTAGGGATGTTGGGTTTGGAGATTGAATTGGGTTTAGACTTCAGGAGTTTGGCCCTAACCCTAAACCCCAAACGCTAAACCCCAAACCCCAAACCCTAAACCCTAAACCCTAAACCCTAAAACCCTAAACCCTAAACCCCAAACGCCAAACCCTAAGCCCTAAAAAGTGGTGTGGGGCTTGGGCTTTCGGGTTTGACAGTCCAAGGTTTCGGGTTCTCAGGCCTTCAGATTCCGGGTTAAGGTGTGAGGGTTGAGGGTTTAAGGTTGAGGGTTTAGGGTTTGAGGGTTGAGGGTTTAGGGTTTAGGGTTTAAGGTTGAGGGTTCAGGGTTTAGGGTTTGAGGGTTGAGGGTTTAGGGTTTAGGCTTTAAGGTTGTGGGTTTAGGGTTAAGGTTTAAGGGTTTAGGGTTCTCGCAAATCTGCAGCGTTCATGTTTTAAGGTGTAGGGCTCTGGGTCTAGACTAGAGCGCAAGGATCAGGGTTTGGGGTTTCGGGCATCGGGGCTTGCTCAGGCTCGTGGCTGCTGTTGTTGCCTACCAGGACGTCTCCAAAAAGCCCTTCCCTAGAGGCTCCACATATACTACTACTATTGTGGAACTAGGCCCTTAAAAAACATCGTAAAGATGGTATTTTGGGACCCAATTCCACAATGGTAGTCTATTAGGAGCCTTTGGGTTCTGCTAGCAGTTCCCCTACAGAGTCTTTCGAAACACCGGACACCGGGTGCCAAGCTGCATCCGATCAGAAGAGCTTTACATGTCGTTTGCTGTTGGATTAGGTCTCCTTATCAAGCCTTGCCATATGCAGTACCGGTATTTACAGATTGGGCGCATGTCGTCTAAACATGGCCACAGCGCACCGAAACCGATCGCAGGAGGCACGATGGCTCTTGTCCTTCCTAAACCCTAAACCCCATAACCTTTAAACCCTGAACTCTAGACCTTTAAACCCAAAACCCTAACATTAACATGTTTAGGAGGCGGTGCACATCCGGGCCAAGGAGTCTTGAAACCTGATCAGGACCCAAATGGGTGGTTGTCAAAATTATGGTCCCCAAAAGGGACCATAATTTTGACAACGACAAATCTACTAGGCCCAAGCGATCAAAACTATAAGGCCCGGGCCTCTTAAAGTGCTGGCAAAGTTTGGCCCTAAACCCTAAACCCCGGTTTAGGCTTTAGGGTTTAGGGTTTAGGGTTAATCAAACTTAAACCCGAAACCCTTAAACCCTACACTTTTCAACCTCGAAGCCCAAAACCCCAAACCCCGAAACACCTCCTGCCTGCACAGCCAATGTGCGGCAGGTGTTCGTAGCTGAAGTCGAGATCCCTGACATTCAGCTTTAAAGGAAACTACAAGTGAGGAATTTAGGGTGTATAGGGCTTCAGGAAGGCTTCTATAAGGTATAAAGACCTTCTATAAGGCTCCTATAACGGTAACTACCCACCTGAAATTGTCCTAGACAGCAGGGTGCAATGATTGTCTGAAGTGTCTATGCGCAAGCCCTTATAGTAGTGCTCAGGAGTGACCTTCGTAGTAATCCATATATCTAGTAAACTGAGTCAACCTCATAGTAACCTTCAAGGAGCCCTTAAAGAACAAGCTCTGAGCCCCATCGCCTGGGAAGCGTGAGCTCTGGCGAAGCTTGTCTGGAGTGTAATACAAGGCCCTCATTAAGCGCTCTGGGGCCCATTATACTATAGTTATAATAAGAAGAAACCACCAAAATAGTGTTGGTAATCATTTAGGCTTCTACATTATTGGGTCTTGCATGCGCAGAGTAGTCTGAAATACTTAAAGAACGACTATCTCCAAAGCCTTCCACCACAATCCCTTACTCAAGGAATCCCTGGACAACAAACAACCTACCTTTGTCGGGTTCCTCATTCTGGTTTCCTGATATAAGTCCTTAGAAAACTAGCTTAGTTGGGGGTTCAGGTATACCTTAAATCATGTCAGGGATCCTACCATAGTGTAAGGCATCGTATATTCCTTAATTGAATGCTTCTTGGAAGGTCCATGCTGTTTCGCTCATGAGCACCTCTGTAAACCTAAAACACAAAATTTGGTTAGGGTCTGTTTAGGGCTTAGGGGCTATATAGGAGTTAGGGTTGAGGGTTTAGGGCTTAGGGGGTATATAGGAGTTAGAGTTTAGGGTTCAGTTCAGGGTAATTCAAAACCTGGAGCCCTAAACCCGGTTTCGGGCCGGTGAGAAGTTTCAGTGAAGGCTAACGCATGTCAGTACCCTGTCGCCTTCTTTCCGTGAGTTATGTGGCTCCTTGCCCTTACCCCTAAAGACGCAGGCGTTGGCTTGAGAATTTGGGAATTCAGATTGCGCCCTTGGCTGGCTTGATTCGGGTGGCTTTTGCTTCGGACGGCTAGGTCCCACAAGTTCATCTTTACCTTGTACAGACCATGGGCACGAGCCCCCCAGAATGTGGGGTACCTAAACCCTAAACCGGGGGTGGGATCACTAGGAACCGATTGGAGCCTGTTTGCGGTGTACCTGAGCCCACGCCCACAAACACCAAGTAACCCTGAGCCCTCAACCCTTAAACCCTGAAGCCTCAAACCCCTATCGTAAACCCTGCCTTAACCCCCAAATAACCTACCTTTTTCAGGACTTATACAAAGAAATTATACTAAGGAACCCTGAAAAGGTAGGTTCTTTGGGGTCCAGGAAACCCCGTAAACCCTCAGCCCTAAACCCTTACATAAGACCCTCATCCTGAACCCTCAAAAACCGTAAACCCGTAGATCCCAAATGCTGCTTGAAGGCCATGACTTGAACATCCCAAGCCGACGGCAAGAACCAAAGCCTCACAATTGCAGAGAACAGCACTTCGGGATTTGGAGTTTACGGGTTAGGGTTTAGGGTTTAGGGTTTAGGGTTACGGGTGTAGGGTTTTGGGGTTTAAAGATATCACAGCCCGATTGGGCTGTGCTGCTGCTGGGTGTGTCGCCAGGGAGTTGGGGGTTTTGGGCTACAGGGTTTGAGGTACATGGAGCCTGTGGCTTCCTGACTGTGGATTTAAGACTATGGTTTCCCCCCCTTTTGAGCACACATCGGAGATTTCAAAGTGCCATATGTTGGCTGATGCTTTTGGTTGGCAGCGACTGGAGTTTGGGGTTTGGCCCTTGCGGGCTGAGGGAGGGTGGGATTGTTGCTTTTTTCGGTTTTACAGTCTGTTGCAACATGTCTGATGGTTACCGTCTGTCTGTGTATGTATGTATGTACGTACGTAAGTAAGTAAGTATGTATGTATGTATGTATGTATGTATGTATGTATGTATGTATGTATGTATGTATGTATATGTGTATGCATGTATATATGCATGTATATATGCATGTATGCATGTATGTATGTGTGCATCTGTGTATATATGCATGTGTATATATATATATGCATGTATATACGCAGGTATGCATGTGTGTATGCATGCATGCATGTATGTATGGCAGGATGGCGTTTATGACAGCAATGTCTATCATTTATCAAGCTTCAAGATTTAAGGCAGTGAGGTTGTTGGTCTTCTGGTTTGGGCGGTTTTATGTTTGTTGGGTTTTCCTTAACCCTAAACGCTTTGGCTTGTAAACCTCTGAGTTGGATCTTGGTGTGGTTTTGGGTTTAGGGTATGCGGTTTACGGTTTATGGTAAGGTTTAGGTTGAGGGTTTTGCGATTCGGGTTTCGGGTTCAGGGATTACGGTAACCCTAAACCCCAATCTCTAAACCGTACGGTTCAGTGTTTCGATGTAAGAGACATGGCTCCAAGGCATGGGGCGTACTACGGCATAGGATTGTTGGGATGCCGGCACAGGACCATCTTCCGAAAGTAGATGTCCTAAACCCTGAACCCTAAAAAAGTGAATGTCGTATATTATAAACTCTGCTCTCCTGGACGAAGTTGTCATGCAAGTGGCTGCGTCTGCTGGTTGTAGCTTCGCAGGTTGGTGAACCCTCAACCCTCAACCCCAAACCCCTAAACCCCTAACCCATGCACCCCAAAGCCTAAAGCCCTAAACCCTAGAGCCCAAACATCTTAAACCCGAGGCCCAAAAATCCTAAACCCTAAAAGCCCCCTAAACCCTAAGCCCTAAACCCTAAACCCTAAACCCTAAAGCCCTGAAAGGAAACCTAGGGCTTCCCCAGGAGAAAGCAGCGAAAAGCGACCGCCTCCATCTTTTAGGACTGTTTTGGCTCCAACAGCCTCTCAAAAGCGAGGTCTTACCCAAAGGGCTTAGGGATTTTAGGCTTTAGGGGTGCAGGGTTTAGGGTTTTTAGGGGTTGGGACTTAGGGCTTAGAGGGTTTAGCGGTGTATGGTTTAGGGTTTTTAGGGTTTAGGATTGGGGGTGAACCCTAAACCCTAAACCCTAAACCCTAAACCCTAAACCCTAAACCGTGTAGGGTTTAGGGTTTTAGGGTTTATAGGCCTGGGGATCAGGATTGAGCGGTAACAGGTTTATAGGCCTCGCAGAAGCTAGTCTTACCAAAAGCGTCCCAGGCATCTACATTGTGTAGGGGCCTTAATAACCAGAATAGGGTTTAGGGTTTAGGGTTTAGGAGTTTAGGGTTTAGGAGTTTAGGGTTTGGGGCCCCTTTTTAATATAAGTACAATAAGGAACCCCCAAAAATAGTATTTGGCAAGTATTCAGGCTCCCTTTTGTGGTAGAAAGGAGGGCTTCTGCAGCCTTTTGCAAGTTCTTACGTAGAGGATCATGGGACTTAGCAAATGGGGTTATAGATACGGTAGCTATAGTTATATTGAGTTATATTATAACTCCCATTAAGGTACTTTTAACCTTAGTTACTAAGTCCCATGATCCTCCGAGTATGGTTTGGATAAGTATCCTCGACCCAGGATCAGACCCTTGGTGCTATGTAGTCCCTAAACCTGAAACCCTAAACCCTAAACCCTAAACCCTAAACCCTAAACCCTAAACCCTAAACCCTAAACCCTAAACCCTAAACCCTAAACCCTAAACCCCAAGCCCCTTCTTGGAACTGCTAGAACGGTTTAAGGTTCCGGGGGTAGGGTGTAGGGCTTATCAAGGTTGCTTTTCGGGTGTGGCTTAGGGCTTATAGGGTCTAAGGCTATGTTGGGGCTGACGGCTTTTGGGACGAGAAAGCTGCCAACCCTGGTTGCATTGAAACTGTCTTGGATTTTGAAACCTTAAACTCTAAACGCTCGGTAGCTGAGGCGGAGGAAGCATCAATTAGTGACTTTGGGACGCTCAGAGTTTTTCGGCGCTTACGATACTTCTGCGAACATCAGAACCCTGAACCAAACCCTAAAGCCAAAAACACAAGCCCTAAACCCCACATCCCAAACCTAAAATCCTAAATTCCATTCCCTCAATGCTCAGTGGCACATAGCTGCAGACCTCCTTACCCCAACTCTGCAGATGTCTTCCAAACCCGAGCGGCCCTAGTTCCTCCCCAACTTCAATAGCTTTGGCACAGATTTTTGGGGAGTATCTCTAAGTATATGATTTTACAATATTAACGCAAGCATTCTTCAAACCTCTAACTACACCGAGCATGGTGCCTGGGCCACATGCCAAGGACTAAGTGATTGGTCGAAGGAGAAGGCTTTAGAGAAGATGTCCGTCATGTCACGCACCGCGGAGGTATTCCTTCCCATCCAGCCCCAGAAGTAAACATATGTAGGTTATGGGTATTACGTTAAGGACAAAATAAAGTTTAAGGCTTCAGGAGCACAACACACACTATACAGGCAAGGGGCTCCTAGGGAAGGGTTGGAACTTGGGATTAAGGGCAGTGGTCTGAAACAGTGCGGGCTTGTAAAATGCGTTGGGTGCGGGATCCAGGGCGGCAAGCTGCTGTTGTAGCTTGAGGCTCAGGATACATCGGGAAGTGGGCCTCACGACATGAGATCTAAATGCCAAACCCCATACACCCTAAACCCCTTAATTAGACCAAAACCCTGAACCCCGAATCCTAAACCCAACAATCCCCTGCCTAAACCCTCTAATCCAAAACCCTAAACCCCAAATCCTAAACCCAAAATCCGAAGCTCGAAGCCCCTAACCTGAAACTCTGCACCCTAAACCTGCAAGGACTCGTGGGTTTAGGGCTTAGGGTTGAGGTCGGTTTCTCGCGTGCGCAGGGTCTTGGTAGCTTCAATAGGGTTTTGGGGGTATATTATGACGGAATGACTGCCAGAATCATAAGCGATCGTCGGCGATATAGTGGTATATACATATACAGAATTGTACACATAGATGTGCATATATATATATATACACTGTATAATATACATACATACAAACATACACCTATATATCTGTATATCTATATATACCTATCTATCTGTCTATCTATCTATCTATCTATCTATCTATCTGTCTATCTATCTATCTATACCTATAAATCTAACTTTCTATGTATACATATGTAGGTATGTATATATAATATATATATATATACACATCTATTTATTTATTCATCATTTTATTATGTTTATGCATGCGGTCATAGCAGATACTCGAATGTCTTATCTGTACTTTTTCTTTGGACCCCAACATAGAAGCGTCAATAATTACCAACACAATTCCTTAGGGTTCCCTGTTATATTCACAGTATCATACCTATAGTCTCCATTATGTTCCATTTTTTTGTTAGCGAAATTTATATTACAGGATCCTACCATAAAACTGGTTCACCACTAAAAGTAGCTACAATGGCGACTGTAGGTCCCAAAAACCCAACTTCTACTTATTAAGGCCCCTAAACCCTAAGAGCCCTAAGCCCTAAACTAAACCCTTAAAACCTAAACCCTAAAGACCCTCAACCCTAAACTCTTTGAAAACCCCCTATTCTAGTCATTTACGGCCCCTATTGTTTTATTTGGGGGTTTCCGAAAGCAGGGGACCCTAATATAGTACCCTACCTTATTATAAGGACCCCGAAATATGGGAGTTTCCAAAAATTAGGGTACCTTATTTTGGGGTCCTTATAATAAGGATCCTATTATTTAGGGTACTATATTAGGGTCCCCCATTTTCGGAAACCCCCATATGGTACCCTTATTTTCGGAAACTCCAATTTCATGGTGGAGGCCCGAGGCTCCAGGAGCTGAGGGGCTGGTTGAAGCGGCCGGCACGTTGAAACATGCCCTTGCAATAGGCTGTTTTTTTTTAAGATTGGGTTTATGGTTTAGGAGTTTAGGGTTTAGGGTTTAGGGCTTAGGGTTTGGGGCTTAGGGAGTTTAGGGCTTAGGGTTTGGGGCTTAGGGAGTTTAGG